TGGATAAGGATTCATACCGAACACGAGTAATAGCGTTGAAAGTTGGGTGTAGATTTCGAGCGATATTTTGATGAAAAAAGTGGTTATTGTACGACAACCTTAATAGATAGATATATGCTATCGCGGACTTTTATATAGCTTATTAAATGAGCTACAATTTTTTCATACATCATTTTTATGTAAGTCTTATAGTTTAGGCTACGTAAGCAAAGAAAGCAAAAATGACCCGAAATTTCGTAGCGCGATTTTGAGCTAAACTATTTAACTACGTCGTAGTCTTAGACTCCAAAAATTAAACAAAAAAATGGGACCCACCTGCAAGCATTACCTTTCGGATAAAAAAAGAATTATCCAAATCGGTCCACTAGCGGCGGAGTTATGCCGTAACACACATAAAAAAAAAAAATATACCGACGAATTGAATACCTCCTTCTTTTGGGAAGTCGCTCAAAAATAGAACTTGAAGACTTCTTTGCATTATATCTCTTTGTTAAGATCTAAGCAATATTGTTGTTTTTCTGGTTGGTTACAAAAATGGTTAAAAATTTCCCAAAGTTTGTTATCTCTGTCTACGGTAATTAAATAACCGCATCTCCGCTGCAAGTTGCGACCCGCCTTGCAATCTAAGTGATGTTGGGCCATGAAAACAGTGAATTTAAAAAAGAAAATTAAACTATTTAAACATTTTTTTATTAACAATTAATATTTTTAAAGCTTGTAATTAATAAAAAACTTACCGAATTATTACAGTTAATATTTGTAATTCCAAGATACGACAAGAATTTCATACCTGTCTTTCAATAAAATTAAATTTTCTTTACTATTCCATGTTTAAAATATATTAGACAGACACCAAAATAAAAATAAATACAGGCTAAAAACCAGCGCGGCTTTCAGTAACAAGCTGGAGACCATATCAGCTGATCCTTCTCCTTTTGGCCAAGAACTTTTTTTATGTTTATTTCGTTAATATGTTTTGTAAATTTTGTTGTTTTTTTTGGTCAATAAATAGTGTTTTATTTTATTATTTTTGTGGCCGAAAGAAAACAACAACGCACAACTATTGTAAGATTGTCGATTGTTTCGCAGTTCATTCAACTATTTAGTTGTACAACTAAAAATCGAGTAGTGCACTTCAATGAGTTCATAAGAATCAAAGCGCGACGAAACAGTCGTGCGATAGTTTTTTTTTATAATATAAGGTAGCAAACGAGCAAGCGGCCACCTAAATCCACCAAAATGGAAAGCGACCACTGCCCATGAACATCCGTAATTGCAGATGCGTTGCCTACCCTTAATTGACAGAGGAGGAGACGCACATAAAGAGGACATTTCCCCTTCCTATGCGTCTCGTCCACCGTCAAATCCACTTTTCCTTCCCATCCTTTCCTCTTAAGAAAAGGGTGGAAAGGGAAAGGGACTATAATTAGACCTCCGGCACCACACTCATCAGATGAAACGCGGAATTGCTTCCACTTCACGCCAGTTTAGTCAAAGGTGTGCCCGTTATGACCGAAATACAACCATAACTAAAGTCAACAAACGGATTAATTCCATTAATCCATTCGTCAAATGAAATAGACAATACGAAATGTTCCAAATGAACACAATGGAGTATTGATTGGCTCTAAAATTACCGCCTCTATAGAGTTAATTTATTGTTAAATTCTCACTGCTCCCACACTCACTGCATTGTTAAATAATTTCAACGGTTGCAACATCTGTTAATAATATAAATTTGAATTTACACTGAATAGCATTACAAAACTGTGAAGGAAAACATCATGATGAAACCTGCATATGTCGGCAAAGAAATTCAAAGATGTGTGAAGTCAACCCGCACTAGGCTAGCGTGGTTGACTATGGCCTAGTCATCCTAACTTATTATAGGCATATAGTGAACTAGCCATGATGATATCGAGCATTACAGTCGCGTTGTGGAACACTCTGTCCTTAGCGGTATTTCCAAACAGTTACGACTTAGGGGCCTTCAAGAAAAGAGCGTTCTCCTCCCTTAGGCCGGCAGCGCATCTGCAGTACCCTTGGCATTGCGGATGTTCATGGGCGTCGGATAATTAATATCAAGCGATCCGTTGGTCGTTTGCCCGCTTTTCGATTTCGACGTGATTTAACTGGAGGGTAGCTGACACTGATTGGTGTATAGGCTAATTTTTTAAGATTCTGCGCTATTAAAATGATGTAACGGGTAGTCCGAATTTGCGCTAACGAATTATGCGGGCAACAGCTCGTGATAAAATAAACGCAAACTTCAGAAACCCAGTATAAGTGACTAAGCAATAGCAGTTTTACCTAAGTAAAATGAATACATACATATAAGGTATGAAATAATTGAGATTGACAAAGGCCTGTTAAGAATTAGTCCAACAATTACGGCAAAAGCTTTTAGAAGCGTCGTGCGTTATTAATTATTTATTGAAGGTAAAGTCGCGCTAAATGGAAGTTTACTCGCGTTTCAAACATTCATTTTACTGTTTCTAATAAGTTTGTGTGTTACTTAAATAAAATATATTAGTAATAAATAACAACATAAAATAAATATAAATAAATACAAGTAACAAAATATCAAATGATTTTGACCTTTTTAGGCTTTGTAACAGTTTGGAGGCGGGCATATTCCTTGGTGTTTGACTATAGAGAAATGGACTAGGCATAAAGATATCGTTGTATTTAATAACGATTGCTTCTTTTTGCGGAAAATAAGGTAATAATATCGGCTCGAGATAGGAAAACCATGGAGATACTTATGTTTTTGTGAACGTGAATCTAAAAATGTACACACACTACGGGGATACAAGTAACCAAGTTTAGAAGTTGTTAATTATTTTGACAGGTCCTGTCACTTAACACGTTTAGCGTTTCAGATTTTTCTATTCTTTCAGTTTCTGCCGTACCAGGTGTCCATTCTGTTCATTATATGTACATTTCCTTTTCGCTCTATAAGCGAGATACGTACCATGTGTTTCAGACCTGGTTTCGTGTTCAACGTGTTAAAATTCAAAGCGGTCGATAGTCAATATCAGCTACAAGTAATCACAGAGAGTGCGCTCGTGTGCGCTTCAATGAAATAGCGTCATTGCAGAGAGCCATTAACTTTTCAATATTCTATACTAAAATTGAAACGTTAATTAACTTCCTTATGATACGTGCTTACACGTTCGTAGTAATTATATCTCGTGTGCTGAATACCAAAGATGTTACGCGACGTTAAATAAGAAATGAATAAGGAAAGGAGGAGAGGAAAGGAACTAAAAGGAGGTGAGAGGAAACAATAACTATTCTAATCTAAGATTACAAGTAATTATTATGATGGCGGCAGCATCAATCCTGCTTCATTATTTAGCTATGTTATGTTCTTTTTTATATAAGACTAACAGTTCCTGTGCGGCTTCATCCGCATGAAATTATGAAAATTTTATTTTATTGTTTACATTTGACAAATTGTCAATAGTAATTGTCTAAATGACATGAATATATATGAATATATGAATATTCATATATATTCATGTCATTTAGACAATTACTAATAATATATGAATATATAATTATAAAAAAGAACACAAATTACAAAACATATTACTGTAATAAAAATAAAAAAAAAATCTTGGCCAAAACGAGGCTCAGCTGATGCGCCCTCCAGCCTGTCACTAAAGGCCGCGCTGGTTTTCACCTTTGACATTCAATTCATACTTTCTCTGAAATTAGAGGTCCAATTAGAGCCAATTTAGTACTAAATTGTTGGTATGCAGTTACTCAATGTCTGTTTAACCTCTAGTCATTGTTGAGAGCTAACTGAGTAAAGATAATCCGCGTTACGTTTAAGCTTTAATTACCTCAAGAATCAACTAAATCTAGCCGTATTTGGCCTTTATGGCTACTTCAAGGTCATATAACCTTGAAGGATAGTTTGGAACATAACAATTGACTAGCGAACCGCTCCAGCGTCACATAGGTACAATGCTGATAAGGAAATGTGTTTATTTTCGTATCAGAAATATCTGTAACTAGCTTTCGCCCGCGACTCCGTCCGCATGGTATTAAAAAAAAACAAATCCAAGTATGCTATGTGTTCTTCCAGACTATCCTCTATGTGTATGCCAAATTCCATTGAAATCCGTTCAGCAGTTTTGGCTCCAAACTCTAACAAACATCCAACTAAACTTTCACATTTATAATATTACTCAATTATTAGTATTTATATTCCGTTTTATACAAGTAAACCTTCATCTTAATTAACTCTATCTATGGAACTTGCATTAAAAACCGTTGCGTAGTTTTAAAGATCTAAGCAAACACACAGACAGATCGCGGGAAACGACTTTGTTTTATTAGTATAATTAAAATGATTTTATAGTTTTATATCGAAGTTTATAGTTAAAATGAAGTATTGTTTATGTTTTAAATGATGATGATGAAAGTGTAGTAATATGGATACAATGTAAAAAACATAACTTTTTTCTCCTTCACAGAATTGCTTGAGATACTTTATCCGGAACTTTATCCAGAACCTTTTACTGTGGGAGGCCTTCCTACGCTGGATAAAATAGCAATATAAATTTTATCACAGAAAATAAACTTATAAAAATCATTTTCCTTAGATCACCGTCTGACATTTTTAAATCTTTGACATTAAATTAAATATTACTACGCTTCTAAAATGTTTTGAACTCCTGGTTTCAACTTTATTGCTTCGTTTTATAAACTTCATGTTAAATTAATTATTGTTTTCTAGAAAATGCCTGCGACTTTGTTTTAAATGTTTAGAATTAATGAAATGCAACTCTATTCTAGTTTTAAAGTCTATATTCCATGGAACTGGTCGTATTATAGTTATAACAATATTCTAAATGTAATTCGAATTTGGAACCTAAAAGACGTTTGTTTTTTGTTCCAAATTTAAAATAAACGGCGGCAACTTTTGAATTAGATTTTCCAATACAAAAGATTATGTTTGAACATTTTCTCTTTACATTTTCGGGTCGGCCTCCATTGTTCTTAAATATTGTCTTGGAATTGAAATTATGAAAATCCTTGTATATTTTAACGAAGGTCGTGTTTCGCAAACTACGGACTAATTTTAATTGTGTACTTTAAATGGTGTCATTTTGAAATAACCTACCAATATCTTTTATTTAGCATATAACGTAGATAAAATTCATTTCTTTTATAACATAAGGTTGACTAACATTATTCGACGGAGGAGGACACGCACATAAAGAGGATATTTCCCCTTCCTATGGATCAGTCCACCGTCAAATCCACTTCTTCCCATCCTCTCCTTATAAGAAAAGGGTAGTGAAGTGAAAGGGACTTAAATTAGGCCTCTGGCACCACACTCATTAGACGAAACATGGAATTGCTTCCATTTCACGCCTGTCTTCTGTGTGGTCGTGGTATTACACCGGGCGTGCCGGCCCATTCGTACTAACATGTTAAAGTGGGCACTACCATTGTTAATCTCTAATATGTTTAATAATTAAACTGATATGTTATTTATTAATAAATTTAGAATAGGGCAAAATACATTCGTTTTGTTTGTTATTGGAAAAGGCTAAAACGAGGAGCTATCAACATAAGAGTTTGTAAATCGCTAACCATTTGGCACAAGTATTCAGTAAATCAAATATTAAAGGCTTGTCCCACGAAATTGTAGATTGTCTGATAACAATCCAACGTGTTGAATATGTGATGGAAATATCGGATTTTGTTACCTTATCTGACAGTGACGTCATTTTAATCTGAGCCTCTATCAGCCAGTGGTGGGACTGGCCCTTATATCTATTATTGATATTTTATTCAATACTATTACCGGCTTTACATGTTTATGCGGCGATATCTCTGAATCCTGTATAAATCTGTTTGGAAACGTCGCGCGGTGAAACTGCCGTTTTTCAAATTCCATAAGCTTCGAGGAAACCTTTTACCGTAAGTATAATGTAACCTTTTAACGTAACTTGCCCTACTTACGCTGAAAGGTGTGACTTGTCTATCGGAATTGTTATCTAAAGAAATAAAATTGAAAAATCTAGTGGTACTAATAAAACAAGTACTATGTAATAAATGTTTATATTATTACTAGCTTTCGCCCGCGACTACGTCTGCGTGGAAAAAAAACAAAAGTGAGCACCTATGTGTTTCCCAGACTATCCTCTACATCTTTACCAAGTTTCATCGAAATACGTTCAGTCGTTTAGGCTACAAACTCAAACAAACATCCATCCATCTAAACTTTCGCATTTATAACGACCATTTTTGATAACGAAATATTGTTCAATTTATCACTAATCAAGATATAGACGAATTTAATTTTTTTCCGATAATGTTTTAATTTTTTAAAATTTGCAACTTCGACGCAGATTAATAGTTGTTTCTCTTAGATATATATCATACTAAATCTTTACTAAGTCACCTCCTTAATTACCGTTAGACAACACTGAATGCGAAAATAAATCTAACTTTTTAAAAAATAGAAATATAAAATCTATATTAGAGCTGGCGCAGAACTTGGACTAAACTGTCGTAAAAAACAATCGACAATCTGTTGTGCGATTGTCGATTGTTTCGCTGCCTTCAACTGTTTAGTTGCACAACTAAAAATCGAGTAGTGCACCTTCATATAATCTCATAGGAATCAAAGCAAGACTAAACAGTTGTGCGATAGTTTAGTCAACGGTGTGCGCTCTAAGAAGACAAAAGTAATAAAAGGGTACCTATAAGTTGCTGTGCAAATTAAATAACAGACTCTGATTTATAAGAAAATAAAAGTGTCTCGTATTTTACGCGGATTCTTAGAAAAGAAATCCTTTTAGCAATAATGAGAGGAAACATCTTACTTAGTATTATTAAGGCTGGATTGTTAAAGATATTTATAAATCCAAAGGAACAACTATTTTTAGTATAATTTTTGAAATACCCATCAACAAAATTGATATTTATTTAAGCACGCTTCATAACTACTGTCAATTAAAATGTACAATTACATTTATCGTAAACAAACACAGTTTAATCTGAACAGAACAATTGTGCAGTTTGAACTGAGTTTATCTGTAGCGGGTTTTCTGTCACATGAATACATCTCTTTGGTATGTTTTATTTATTAACAATACTAAGTAAAAAACAACTTAATTAATTTTGTTTGTTTTATTTTTAAAATAATACTTTTAATTTTCGAACAATGAAATTTTCACGTATTTTTTAAATTAAGAATCTTAGTTTTCGAACTAGCCATTTTTACCTTCATTTGTTTTATAGTTTATAAAAAAAAAACGCAAGCATGTATGTTATTAAAGTAACGGACCGTAGAAATGGAATCTCATGATAAATGGCTTCCCCGCGTGGGCTCGCCTTTTAACAACTAAACCAAGGATTACTGTTAAAAGGTTTTCTTGTTGGACGATGTGGGTTTCGCTACGCCTACTAAATAACTGACCTTCTTGAGTTATGTTAATAATATTAAGTTGAAAATGATATATTTAAATGATTGTGATGTTTTATAATCTAAAACAAGCGAGTAAGCGGCGACCGGATTTTACCAAAGCAAAGAAAGGACCATTGCCCACAGACATCCGCATTAATTTATTTAATTATCTACCGTCTCCGTCTCCGTCTGAGAGGAACTAACTAAACAAACAAAGAAAATAGCCTATGTATTCTTCCAGACTATGCTCTACATCTACCCCAAATATCATCCAAATCCTTTCTGCTTAGGCTACAAACTCTAACAAACATCCATCTAAACTTTTTTATTTACAATATTTGTAAGATTTACTAAAGTTCAATAAGTCTTAATTGTTATTATGTTTCGCAGCTTATTAACTTAAATATTTGTACGTGTAATAAACATTATTTCGTAGATTAAGAATTTTTTAACACGTTCACTGTGTAACAGGTCGAGATCGGCCTGCCGCGGTACTTAAGCTGGAGCGGACGATGAGAACTATATCCATCTTGCTAGTGGGAAACGATTATCTCAAGTGTATACATTACATAAAATGTATTCATCATGTTTCAACAAAGTTATGGCAATTTAATCTATCCTAGTGCTGGTGGGTCTAAAAAGGCCTGCCAAGCACTAGCGGAAATATCATTGGGGGCACATTCTGGCCCGCCGCCGTAGTGAACATAAACAACATAAAAAAAATATTTAAAAGATAAACGGTTTATTCATAAAACCACAAAATCTCAATAAATAATATATTCAATTTACCGGCGGGTAAACTTCGTGAATTACGTTAATATAGAAATGGAAATACATCTGTCGGAAACATGAAAACTCTCGGTCCCTTAACTTTGTTAATAAGCGGCGTAGCTACAGCGAGGCTACGTCAAGCTACGCCGTAGCAAGCTACAAGGTAATCGGTAATGTCCAAACTTAAAGTTAAAAGTAAAGTATTTAAATTCAATTTAAACTTTATAAATGATTTATTACTTTTAATGGACAAGATTGTTAAGGTTGTTAAGAAATTTAAGTAAAATATATTTACGTAAAAGAAACTTTTTTTTTGCTTTCATTTACTTAGAAAGCTTACTATTTAAGGGTTTGAATGATTTATCAATTTACTTGTTATTCTAAGTATTAGACCAATATGTATATTCTGGCTATGGTTACAAGCCGTAGCTACTTCTACGGTTACAAGTCGTAGCTACAGCTACGGTTCGTAGTACTCTAAAACTCGATTGATTCTCCAAAATTTAAATAATTATAATAAAATGCTACAGTAATAGTGAACATTGTTCATATTAGTAATATTATGATGTACTAACTTTAACATATAATTCCGTGCGCATGGTATAAAAAAAAAGAAAAACAAAATAAAGTAGCCTATGTGTTCTTCCAGACTATCCTCTACATCTATGCCAAATTTCACCGATATCCGTTCAGCAGTTTCGATTACAAACTCTAACAAACATCCATCCATCTAAACGCATTTATAATATTACGAGTAATAAGATATTAATAAGAAATACGATAGTCACATGATATAGAAAAAACTCGTAATATCCAGTAAGAATAGCTTACATAAATGGGTCTGTTCGGCGGACAAATGTAATCAGATTAGAGGAGTCTGCGAGTGATTGCGAGGTCGCGTGACGCTGTATAACACCCCCTGCGAATTAAACCCCTCTTGATGAATGCTTGCCGCAAAGAACTGTGTTACGCATTTTGGTAACTCGCTATACTTTTACAGAGATAAGAATCATAGAACTGTGTGTAATTGCAGGAAGTTAATCAGGTTTTTTTATTAAGATTTAATGACTATTGTTAGCGTATCGTCTACTTGATTAACTAGTCTATATCTATCTGTCTATACTAATATAAGAGGAAAGATTTGTATTTTTGTATGTATTGAAATAACTCAAAAACTATTGGGCCGATTTCAAAAAAAATTTCACCGTTAGAAATGTAATTTATCTGTGAGTAACATAGGCTATATTTTTTTAATTTCACGCGGGCGAAGTCGCGAGCAAAGATATTTTTATTGGTAAAATAATTCACAAGATCAGTTAAGTCATTGTTTTAGTAATTAATGTGTTTGGCTTTGATGAACAAACAAAACATAATAAAACTTCTAATATTAAAAATCATAATAACTTTAGCGTTCATATTTTAAAGCATATACCAAT